CGCAAGCACAACTCTGGCCTCACGTAATTTAATTTGGAACGTGTTTATTTTCTCCAGATGTTTATATTAGAATAGTATATTCTCTGAAGCTGTACTGGGTCAAGATCCTGGGCCCTCTGTGTACATCCTGGAATCATAATTTCCTAACAAGAACTGACATGTTCTGACACAAAGTGGCTTGGAGCTCCTTTCCTTCTGTCCACATGCTTTAGAAAAAAGAAAAAAGAAAAAAAGGGTGTTTGCAAATGGCAAAGACAGCACAGACTTTAAGGTCAAAAGTCAACTTCTGCTTTCTTATCTGGGAGATTTCTGTAATAATTAACTTACTCCATAAGGATATTCTGAGAACCAAATGGCAGACTCTCTGTGCAAATTGCCGTATAATACTAATGGTATAGCTCCAGCCACATTTCTCCTTACTTTTAAAATGGCCGCGGGTGCCCTGGTGGCTCAGTTGGTTGAGCATCTACCTTCGGTTTAAGTCATGATCCCAGGATCCTGGGATCGAGCCTCATGTTGGGTTCCCTGCTTAATGGGAAGTCTCTTTCTCCCTCTGGCCCTCCCCCTGCTTGTGCTCTCTGTCTCTCTCTCTCAAATAAATAAATAAAATATTTAAAATAAATAAACAAAATAAAACAGCAGCCTTAAAGCCAAGCACACAAGATCGTCCGCTTGGTGGATTATCACTTGTTATAGTTACTTCTCTCTGGCCTGGGTGCATATTAAAAGCAAGGCTACGGCTTTTTTTTTTTTTTTTTTAACCTCAGTTCCTGCAGCATTCAGCATTCTAGCTGATGCGTAGCGGGTGCTGGCATATGTGTTTAAATGATGCTTTCAGAGGAAGCACGAACATTGATTTCAACCCTACAGACGATGGGCCAGGCGTGTCATGAGACTAGATAGCTTAAATGCACTTGTCTCCTTTTACAGGCCACTAAAAGATGTAAAAATTACTGCTGTGGGCTTGGTACCCAAGAGTTTGAAGTGCAGGTACTGATTAGGGATCAGTAGCCATGGAAGCAAGGGGTGGGGAAGCAAGCCTGGGCACAAAGACATGAAGAGCTGGCATTCCTCCATCAACCCAGTGGCCCGTCCTGGAGCCAGGATGGCCTGCTAGTGCTATCTTCCATCAGGCCAGGATAACCAGGCTCTTAGACACCCCCATCAGTTCCTGGATCTAAGCCACCCCTGGAAGAACATGCCCTTGGACAAGGTGACTCTGTAGCTGAGGCGGTTCCTGAAGGGATGGACAGCTGGGCCAACACATCCCTCCTTGGTGCATGTCCACATTCACTGTAGTCACCAAATTTAAAGGTACTGTCTACCACGTGAGAAGACAGTATTAATATTTGAAGACACAGAATGACTTTACTCAACGAAAAATTGGAAATTCCATTCATAATTGAATTAAAGAAAAGGCCAATGCTCTTACAGATTTATGGTAGAATATATGAAAACGCTTCGTTAACATAGTGAAGACTTAAAAGAAGACATTGATTCCTTGGCATGTGATGTCATTCTCTTAAGAAATACCGTCCTTTGGCAAGTAGCTGCTGGGTTATCTGTTTGTGCACCAAAACGGGCACTTCTAAGCAAACTCTCCTCCCAGTGTGTAATGATATGGCCATGTGCAGAGCCTCTCTTCCCAGATCCAAGCCTCTCCAATGTTCTAGTTCCTGGAAGGAGTGACCATGTCTATCCACCACGATGTGGCCACGCCCTGGGGCCACGAAGAGGAGCAGCATCAGCAGGATATGGTTTGCCTTTCTGATGGAAGCCTTCCCAACTGCCTGACCTCCATGCGTTTGGTGTTCCATTTTGGGCAGCTGTCTTGCTCAAGTGTGTATGTTTCAGCAGGACCTGAAGAAGTGGCCAAAAGCGCATCTGGACCTTAATTCCTCTGATGTCACAAGGAAGAAATGAATGTCCTCAAAGAGTTCCCCAGTCATAATATGTACACAGCCCGCTCTATCTAATACAAAATAATATGTTAGATGGATTAGAAAGCACTTGAGGTTAGAAGAAAATCAACCATTATTTCCTTGGGACTAAGGAGGGCTGATTGGTCCTTCATTCTATGCTTCTGGGAAAATTTAGAAGCTTACGTGAATAAGACTTAAGACACTGGTCTGCGAATCTCAAGTCCATAATCCCCTCTATCTTCTGGTGCAGTGTTAACTATTATTAAGTGCTTATAAATGATGAGGGTAAAATCAGCTTACAAGAGATTGCCCTCCACCATTGTAGATTATCATACAGATTTTAAAGATGTAAGCTACTAAGAGAACATATTTTGATCTTCCTTTACTCATGCATAGCAAATGGGGAAGATGGGTGAACATTCCTTAGGTATTCTGGGAGTAGTGTTTTTAACTGATCAATGTTTTCATTTGGTTCTCTCTCAATCCTTAGGGGTAGACATTAAAATAAGGCTAAATATGTTTAATTTCTAAAAGACATAATACAAATTCCATAGTAACTCAATATCCAATAATGTCTAAATTCCCTCGGTTCCCAGGGCTATTTTGAGGTCTTTAGGGAAAATGTAATTCTTTTTCCTCTTTCTCAGCCTTGATATGCCCCATTAAACTTTATTCTGTCTCTCTTACTCTTTTCCAGTCCATTCACCATATTCAGCATCCAAGAGCCTGAAAAGACTGAGAATCTGTTCACAGGTGGGGGAAGGGAAATGCCCATGGCTGTGGAGCAGGAAGCCCGGGTTCTGGTTCTAAATCCAAGACTAGGTGTGTGCGTTTGGGGAAATTCCTGGATTTCTGCAGGTCTCCAATTGTTCATCTGTTTAGGGAGAGAAGAGAATAGATGCCTCCTATTGCCACTGTTCTATGATTTTCTAGTCTTCCAAGCATATTCTGTTCATGTCTATGAGGAAAGCCTTGACAATAGGCTATGCAATGGGATTCAATGGGAGTATTTTCTATGGCTTCCAGGGAATTTGGAAAATATGAGTCACATTAAGTACCCCCTCCAGTCCCAAAGGTAGTAAGGAAATAAAGACTGGAGTTTGGGGTATATGACTCTCAAAGCAAATTGAGTTTTCAAAGCCAGGAAGAGCTATTTTAAGGCTAGAAGTATTATTTTCACTCTTTGATTAGTGGCATGAAAGAATAGCTATAAATGTGACCAGCAGTTACTACTTTCATTATCGGTTAAGGATAACCATTTAACTTTAGGTATTAAATTTAATTCTTTTTTATGACAAAATTTCTCTTGATGTAATGATCCAAATTGCCATTTCACATTTGCCTTCAAAATGGGGAGACCTCTAATTAGTGAACCAGCTGGATCCATCACCATGAAGGTTAAGATCAAGGTCAAGATTTAATAGCATTAGTTTTATTCTGTCCCAAAGTCACAAATACAAATTTAACCCTGCTGGCTTTCTAAAGAAACGTGTGAAAGCTATATCCTAGAGAGTGTACAAAACCATCATCTCTGCAGGAAAAGTAATTCGCAGGTTGACTATATGAGCAGTGGGGTGCACTGTCATCTCCGGTGAACCAAGACAGCATGGTGTCAAGGTTGCCATAGAAACTGAGTCGCCAACCTAGGGTAGCATTGTGGTGCCTAATGAGGGCATAGCATTATGCCAGCCCCATGATTATCCTCATAGTGCCCAGGGATATTATTGGACCTGGAACACTAGACTGTCAATGAATGGCACAGAAACCATCGTTGGTGAATTCTTTTTCTTCCTGGTCTTTCATTATTGGATACTTACTCTTTTCTGAGAAAAGTGAAGAGGTTAAAAAAGAGATGACCTCTATTTCATCCCATAGTGCCTAAGGAAGCCAGAATACAACAGATTTTACACTCATTCGATAAGCTACTTTCTGAAACTAAAAACCAAATTTCCTGAGCCCCCATCACCCTTGTCTATTGATTTCAAAAAATGTCCTCACCATGCATTCTAGAAAAACCCCATCTCCCTCTTTTTCTGGACCCCTCCCCCAACATGCTCCATAGGGGATGCATTATAGTAGAATATTTAGTAGGAAAATGCAATGCTCACACAGCCACAATTTTGAAGATACTGTCTTTTTATTTCACAACATGGGAATAACTCAAATTTTGAGTCTCAAGGACCAAAATAGAGTCGAGCCAAATGTTCAGAAGATGAGCCAGGCCACCATTTTGGCAGCAAGCTTCACATGGACAAGTGGATGGTAGACAATGATGCCTGCAACATGGCTAAAGCTATAGCACACCCACAAATAGATTCATACTTGGTTGTCTAATTTGCATGCATGAGTATAGTGCGTTCTCCATGCCACTAGCACATATATGCCTCTTTCAAAGTCAGTGCAGGATCCGTATCTGTGCAGGTCTTTAAAAATCCCTTACAATATTTTACCATAATTTAACTGCAAGAGCCTTCAGGTGGCAAATTCTGTATGCCACTTTTACTTCTTGAAAGTCATTGCTGAATAATAATGACCGCTATCAGGAGTTCCAACATCACATAAGAGAATCCATTTGTTAGTTATTTTAATGTCAGTTAGCTAGCTGTGAGTGAGCCTGGCTACACGTCTCCAACCTGCTTGGTGCCTGGAATTTGCCATCGGTCACCTTTAGCAGCAATGGCAACCTTAGACCAAAGGACAGGATCAAAACTAAACCGAACCAACCCAGATGGTATCGCAGAAAGAGTTGGACTCTCCTGCTTTCCAGAATGAATGCTTCCCTAAGATACACCAAACTGTGACAGCCTGACCCACTCGGGCATGGGCATGGGGGCAGGGGGGCAGGGGGCGCCACTTTCCCTGCTAAGGCTGGAATTGTTGGAAACCCAAACAACTTTCAGCGCCAAGGGGGCAAATGCCTGAATCTGAAAAGGAACCAAAAGAAATTGTACCAGGGAAAGGAGACAGGGATGGAAGACCAGTTCCCAGAGCATCTCTCTCTGTCAACAAGCACTGAGAGTCTTTATTACTAGAATATGAAGAATCCCGTGGGAATCGCTGTATCTTTTTTTTTTTTTCTTTCTTTCTTTCTTTCCCTTAACTCTTTTCTTGCCAGTCCTTCCCTGGCCTGTTGAACTGGCTCGGTGAGGGAGGAGGTGGTCTCATCCAGAAGCCACTCAGTGGGAGGCCTCACGAGCTGCACTCCTCACAGTGACAGGAGAGGATGTACCGGTAGGTGGCCGTGAGCCGCATGCCCCCGGAACAGCGCAGGCGCAGTGCCTTCAACTTGGAGGTCTGAGGCCGGCAGCAGTGACAGGAGGAGCGAAAAGGCTGCTTGAGGACAGTGCTGAAGGACACCAAGGGCTCAGAGCGTGACGCCTGGCTGCAGTGCCCCTCGCACCTGGCCAGAAGCACCATCTGGGGAGAGAAGAGACAGGGTTACCCTGTGGGGAGACCAAAACCTCAGCCAGGTCCCACGGCACCCTAACACTCTTTGCCGACTTCCGGTGGTTTAGACCAGTGGTTCTCAACCCTGGCTGCACCTTAGAATCACCTGGCAAACTTAGTTTTAAAGCATCGACACCCAGGGGGTGCCTGGGTGGCTCAGTGGATTGAGCCACAGACTCTTGGTTTTGGCTCAGGTCATGTTCACAGGGTTGCAGGATAGATCCTTGCCTCAGGGTCTATGCTCAGTGGGGAGGCTGCTTGAGATTCTTTCTTCTCCTCCCTCTGCCCCAACCCCTGCTCATTGTCTTCTCTCTCTCTCTCTCTCTCTCTCTCCCTTTCTCTCAAATAAATAAATTTAGAAAATAATAAAGCTTGGGCTGAAGTAAGAGAGGCTGTGTGTTCTTTATAGTGGCTTTTAATGTGGCTATAGTAAACAGACTTCTTTTAGAATCGGATGCAAATTACCAAGGTTATCCCCAGAACAATGGACATAGGCAAACACTTAGTGTTTGCCTCCAGCTTAAGGGGCTGGAGCAGAGGCTCATTTCTGTCTCCCATACATACATCTGGGTTTCCTGGGAGTGGCAGTTATGGGTAGGGGAGGGAGGCAGCTTGATTATGAATTAAAAGAAGGCCATCAAAAAAACATGAAATCTTGGGGCACCTGGGTGGCTCAGTCATTAAGTGTCTGCCTTCGGCTCAGGTCATGATCCCAGAGTCCTGAGATGAAACCCCATATTGGGCTCCCTGCTCAGTGGGGAGCCTGCTTCTCCTTCTCCCACTTCTCCTGCTTGTGTTTCCTCACTCGTTCTCTCTCTCTCTCTCTCTCAACCAAATAAATAAATAAATAAATCTTAAAAAAAGAAAATATTTTTTTAAAAAATGAAATCTTGCCATTTGCAATGATGTGGATGGAACTAGAGGGTATTACTCTAAGTGAAAGAAGACAATCAAAGAAAGACAATTATCATACAATCTCACTGGTATCAGGAATTTGAGAAACAAGACAGAGGATCATAGGGGAAGGGAGGGGAAAATGAAACAAGATGAAACCAGAGAGGGAGACAAACCATAAGAGACTCTTAATCTTAGGAAACTGAGGGTTGCTGGAGGGGAGGGGTGGGAGGGATGGGGTTGCTGGGTGATGGACACTAGGGAGGGTATGTGCTATGGTGAGCGCTATGAATTGTGTAAGACTGATGAATCCCAGACCTATACCTGTGAAACAAATAACACATGATATGTTAATTAAAATAATAATAATTAAAAGAATTAAAAGAAGGAAGTGGTCTACTCATCTTTCTTAAAGGAAGACAAGATGACTTCTGGTCATTATAGGTTATTAACATCATTATCAAAGAAGATGTTGGGATGAATCCAAAGATAGGATATGAGATACTAGGAGGAACCAGCAAGGTTTGGTGAAGTTGGAGTAAGACCTACTGATTTATTTTCTTTGAAAGATCGTAGAGGTAGAGAGAAAATGGCAACTATGAACTGTTTCGAATTTGTCAAGGCTTCAGTGCTATCCTGCCCGCTCTTTATGTGGACAGGCAAAACAGACATGATCTGAAATAGCTTTTGAGAGATTATGCCATAGATCAGTAGTACGTGGGCCAGTCCTCTGCGCCCACTCCATCCGTCTAATGAGAAGGAGCCCAAGGTCTTCCCCAGCCCCTTCTCGCTATACCTGCTGGTTTATGAGAAGAGCTCCCTGACAGCTCACTTCGAAGTACTGTTAAATGTGCCATCTCTAATGTGGACCATCTTTTCCACAGATTAAGCGATATTCAAAGGTCACCTCTCCAAATGAAATCTTTAGAGATCCAGCTTCAGTCTGGATGAATATAGTGAACCTGTGTCAACACACTTAATTCCAAGAGGCACAGACATGGTGGTGTATCTCACCAAAATGATATACACGCAGATGACCCAGATGTAGACCTGGAATGACCTGGCAGTTAGCACAGCCCATAAAGTGACTGAATCGCGATGCTGGGCCATTTGTAGAAGGAATGACCTGATCGTGATTTCACTAAGCGTTTTCAGGGTCTCAATCTCCACCTTCAGCTCATTCACTGAAGACCCTGGGGCCACCTCCAATGGGTACCTCTATCTCAGGAGCTGGACTTTTGGGGCAAAGAGAATGCACAGACATGTACATACAATAAACACATTCAGGGCACCTGGGTGACTCAGTTGGTTAAGCCTCTGCCTTCAGCTCAGGTCACGATCTCAGGGTCCTGGGATCAAGTCCAGTATTGGGCTCTCTGCTCGGCAGGGAGCCTGCTTCCTCCTCTTTGCCTGCCTCTCTGCCTACTTGTCATCTCTTTCTGTCAAATAAATAAATAAATTCTAAACAAACAAACACAAACCACATTCAGTGGCTGCCTGATGCCTTTGGACTCAAGTCCAAAATCCTGAATTGGTATTAAGATCCTCCATGACTTGGATTTCACATCTTTCCAGTCTTACTTATAACTGTTCTCATTTTTGTCACCCACTCCATTGCAACTGTTCTAGTTCTCATTACTCCCTATTCTAATCAAGCTCAATCACTTAAAAGTTATGGAACTGCCCTGAATTTCCCTGCCTCTTACCTTTGCTCATGTCTTTCCCCCTCTCAGGAATGCCCTTTCCTCCTAGCTCTGCTTAATGAAATCCCAGCTATCCTCCATTGTCAAGTTCTTCTCCTCTAAGAAGAGACTATAAGACAATTGTAGGACCTGTGGCATTCTCAACACACATGCAAATCTCCTTTCTGGGAGATTTCCAGGCTACAGATCCCATCTCAAACCTGAAAGTGACATAAAAATCTAGCTCTGATTTGTAAATGTGTGTTGGAGGGCTACAGCGGGGAGTTTGGGAGGGAAGATCTAGAAATGAGTGCCATTAAGGAATGGAAGGGATAAATATCTGCTTTCCAGATTCACTCTTGATATTCCATCCTTTAGCCCCTGTTTTACTCCCTCACCTGTTTTACAGATTTAATGAACATCTTCTCACCTCTTCCAGACCAAAGCTTCTCAAACTCTAACACGCACGTAAATCAGTTGGGGAACTTGTTAAAATGCAGATCGTGTGTGAGTAGTTCTGGGTGATACCAGAGCTGCATTTGTCACAAGACTCTGGTTGATGTCAGTACTGCTAACACCTGCACATTGATTAGTAAGGCTCCAGACCTGTTCAAGTCTGAGAGGTTCTGCTCTAGGTTGATCACTAGATAGGGATCATTTAGTAAATAATAATGGCAGCTGATATTTATTGAGTGCTTGCAACATTTAATCTCATTTAATCCTCATAACAATCTGATGCTAAAGGTCCTCTTTTAATCTGTACTATTATTACAGAAGAGGAAGCTGAGGTTTTAGAGAGTTAAACTAACCTGCTCAAACTCACGTATCTGGTACAAGGCAAGGCTGGAATCAAACCCAGTTCTGCCTAAAGCCAAGCTCCGGGCCTGAATCCCTAGTATATCCTGCTTCCTGATATGAAAATGTTTTCCTGAAGCAGGAGCCAACTCACACCCTTCTCCAATCTACTTTGACTTACCTCTGGGAACCCTAACCATACCATAACCATAGAAATCTGACCTTTTCCTTATGAACTCCTTGGGATACATACATCATCACCACCCCCAAGCTTCTGCAGAGCTAAGTCTTGAAAGAGCACTCCTGAATGATAATTCCTCCACTGTCAAGACCTCCCCCAGGTGCCTCCCCCAGTGATCTGGACACTACCAGAAACTCCCAGAAACTCCTTGGATGGTACCACACAGTGTCTAACTCCTTAACCAAGTCATCAAACATCAGTTCGCCTTCAAACATCAGTTCACCTGCCAAAACCCAGTCTGTGGTCAACATACGTTCCTCATGCCTGGGTGACCTGGTGGGGCCTTACTAACATGGAAAGGCTTCTCTGCATTTGGCCTTGTACTTAACTGCTCATAATGGACTTCTCACAGCTCAGGTGGGTGACAGATACCTGTTATCTGCTTTGGGTCCAGTTTAGTTTTTGCTCTCTTAGGTTTCCCCAAGCAATTGGCCCGATGCCAGGAAGTTAGGCAACTTCTCCAGAAATCCCTTGGTATCCCCCCAATCTTAGAGTCACTGGCCTCCAGTGGGATATGAAAGTCAGTTCCTTCTAGTACAAACAGAGCTGCGGGGTTCAGAGATTGCTCAGGGATGGGCTCCTTCATGTTCTAATCTTTTTCCATGTGCGGAAGCTAAGAAAAATGAAAGGACCTTGGATGATCATAAAAGAATGGTAATGATGTTCATATAGAACACGTATTGGGACATTTACTAGGCTCCAGGCTCTATGCCAAGCCCTTCATATGCAACCTGATTCTTAACAGCTATGTCAAAAGGTAAACTTTCCTCATTTCACAGATGAAGACATGAAAAGGCAGAGGGTGAGTCACCAGCCTGAGGTCCCTTCATTATCCAAAGGTGGGCCAAGATTCTGACCTGAGACAGCTTGATTTCTGAGCCCTCAGTCCTAACCATGACTGTCAGCCTCGATCCTCCTAAGTTGCCCAAGCTGGTCATAAGCAAGTTCAGGCTATTGTGAAGGTTAGAGCCAGCTGTGATTCCTGGATGTTGACCAAAGATTAAACCCGGTGACCCCAGGCCGCTGCTCCCCCTGGTGACCTACCATACTTCTTAGGCAGTTATGTCTTCTGCTACAATATACAGCTATCTTCTGAGTGAGAGAAAACCCAAACACAGATGGTTTTCATCACTCCTTGCTGAAGGATTCTTACCACTGCCAAAGCCACTTTCTTCCTCCGTCATGGGGGACTCCTACAAATTCCTGGCACAGGCCATAAATGACTAGCTGTCTCCATGGGTATCAGAATAAAGACCCAGAACAAAGACTTTGCACACAGAACATCCTATCCTAGAATGGGAGTTTGGCCATTTTATTTCATTTAAATGAGCAACGGTCTTTTGCCTTTTTCTCGGCAGTCAACACTATGTACCCCTTATCCTTCCGGCAGCACCCATTCCTTCCTTCCCCAGCACCCTCAATAAATGACCATTTAGCTCATCTCCAGGGCACCCGGGTCAATCCCCAAAAGGTCTGTGCCAGTCTCAGGGCATCAGCAAAATTGCACCAGAGGAATGAAGCAGCAAGGGGACAGATGGACTCTGGTCCGTCGGTCTGGTCACAACTCAAACCGACACGAAGCTTTTGTACATAGAACATTTCCGCTCCCTCTCTCTCCCATTTACTTACAGGCATTATGAGGGCAAAGACTTGGTCTTTCCCCCCCTATTTTTGCCAGCCACAGGACCTGCACCTTAAATAAATAAATTAATTAAATAAATTAAATTAAATAAATTCGTTCCTTAAAGGAAAAAAGTGATCTCTCCCCAGTAGTTAATTGTATTAGAAGTTCAATGTTCCTGACACTTCTACCATACTATGAGCTTTGTCAGCAGCCCTAGGAGAGGCTCGGGGATCTTAACAGCTTCCTCTTCAAATCCTCTGGGAAGTTCTCCAGGCTTTATCCCGTGAACTGTCCTCCTCCTTGGCCCTTTGGAGTTCAGATGACCCTAAACCCTGGTTCCATGTCCCTGCGGGACCACCATCTCCCTCCCCCATTCCTTGCCCAACTCAGACTTCACAGGCCTGCCTTATTAGCTCCCTTTCCCAGCCCACATCCCTGAAAACTCCTCCCTGGCTTACATCCAGAACTTGTCTCCTCCCCCGCTTCCTGCTCCCTCCACTCACCTGGGAAGGGAGGTCAAGGCAGCAAGCTCTGTTTCTCTTCTACTGTTCTCTGCCCACTCTTAACACCCAGCAGGATGGCTTACATTTACTTTGCCCTTCGGCACGCGTCCCCCACGGCTGCCAGATCTCTGTGTTTAACAACAACCGTGATGAGGTTCATTTTCCTAATCCTTCCAGGATCTACGAGATCCCAACTGTTATTGAGGTCTCTGTAGTGACTGAAATAGAAAGTGAGTCTGAGCACCTGTCCTGTTTATAGCTTCATCATCAAGATGATAATGTCACTCATTAATGTCTATTATATGACAGACGCCATGCTGAACGCCTTACAGATATCATCACCAATACCCATAACCTCACCTTTAGATACACAGCATTCACCCCATTTTACAGAGGAATAAATGGAGGCACCAAAGACTCATTTCACTTCTCCCGAAGTCACCCTTTGGGCACATCGTTTAGTTGCAATGTGAAACCAGGTCTCTCTCACTTTGAAGTCTGAGATGCCTCAGTTGCCTTAAAGGTTCTCCAGACAGCTTGTTTTCACGAACCACTGGCCTTTTGCGTGTTTGCTATATAGCCTTTACTCACTCAGAACTTCAGGGAAGATTGTCAATGAACATGCCACTCCCGGGATCTCTTGTACCCAGTCCTAGGAGGTGTCACTGCTGAAAACCACCGGGTGCAGCCTAATCACCGGTCACATGACCTCCTTGGTGGACCACTGTGGCCAATCATTTCCGCCTGACTCCATCTCATCCCTCTCCCGAATTGCTAAGAGATGGGTGACAGGCCCCTGGAACTCAAGGCTATGGGGAGCAGACAGTATCATGGGAGGCTCCCACAGAACAGTCACAAAAATTCCTATTTTCTAGAAACATTGTTGAGTAAAAATCATTATTTCCAGTGGATCCGAAGTTGAGGCTGGGCTTCCTAATAGTGGCTTCTGTATTCTACCAGCATTTCTCCAAAATGAAGATCCAAGTAGTTGAAAGATAAATGACTTGAGGCAAACGTTGCCACTCCTGGACTAAATGAGCAATCATACTGAATACATTTTTAGCATTCAGTTTTCCCCACCGGTAAAATGGCGCTGCTAATGCCTTCCAAGACAGGTTTGTCGGCAATGATTAGATCCTATATTATGAGATGCCTGACACATATTAGGTGTTCAAGCAGATGTCTTCCCTCCCCTGAGCCTGGGTCACACTCTCCCGGACACCTGTCTTCCCAAGGCCAGACACTGGGTAAATGTAAGTCGGGAAGCGTTAACCACAGACAGACAAACGTTAGGCATGTGTCTAGTAAACAATGGCCTTTGAACATCATGTGGAGGGAAACTTTTTGCAGAGAGGAAAGATCGACCCTGGTCTCCTCATTGTAAAATCCCTTGTTGGCTGTCTCCTAGACATGGGCTAAATGTTTTATCTCAAGTCCGTAAAGAACAATTTCGTTAATGAGACCCATTAGAAAGAAGACCAGCCTGAGTCTGTGAGAGTCAAGAATTATAGATTATTTAAAAATGAAAAACAGTTTTTGTTCTTGGATACATAGAGAAAATCGAATCCAGAAAAGGTCTGTGTAGTTGAAATTCTGCCAGGCTTCTTAAGGCCAAGAAAGAAAGGTTTATAATTATAAGCACCATTTACATAAAACTATTGCTATATTTGAGATCATTTGGGCTGTTAAAAAACAGATTGTTCCCATGAAATTATAAACGTTTCTGCTACTATCACAATTTTGTGCCATTTACCATGGCATTCTGGAAGGAACGTACATGAGCAAAGGTAGACTAAAGTCTGTTTCTGGGAGTCGCACTCAAGCCCCGTGAGTTTGTTGGGCTCGAGTTAACGAGGTCTCTTCTCTGACCTGCCCTTAACTGGTGCGATCACTGCTAAGATGTTCTTCTAACATTTCACCAAATCTCTCTGGATTGTGTTTAGTTTTTAGAGATGTTCCTATTTCCTTATTCCTTCCTATCATCACCCTGGCATTTTCCTTGAAATAATTTTAATAACCCCCACTTTTGTTAAAGAATCATGATTACAGAGAACAGCTCAACAGAGGGAGAAATCATGCACAGAGTAAAAACCACCAAATACTAGTGCTATCTGTAGGGGGAGGGGAGGAGAAACTAATAATTGCTCAAGCCCACAATATCTGAGCAATCACAGTGGTAAAAACATGTCCCGTCTTTTTCCCCCCTTCCCTTTGCTTTAGTGTTTTGTTTTGTTTTGTTTTTTGTATTTTTTTGTTTTGCCTAAGAAGGGATTGCAGTCTTACAAAAATTTAAGTTTATCTCTTTACTCCTTTTTTTAGTTCCACAAGTACAAATAAGAGCCAGAAAGTTTTTAAATGGAAAGTCCCTATTTTTTTCCCACAGTCCTAGATCTTATTAATATAATGGTTAAAATGATTTAACTCAAATTCGGATTCCCCCAAACTAAAACAAGCCATTATCATTGAGTTGTAATCAGAGAAGTGATGGAAATTTTCAAGGCAGACAGAAGTCATCATGTTTGTAAATGGAGGGTAGAGACATCAACTTATATGGTCTTAATTCTAGTGGCTGATATTACAAAAACTTCTTAATTATACCGGTAATTTAAAAAATACTTGCTGTCTGAGAATGCTTAAGTGGTTTTGGTCTCAGAACTAGAGTGAAAAATCTCTGAGGTTGGGCTAAATGCACTCTTATTTACCAAATGTGGGCAAATTTCATTCATGTGACTGGGGGCAGTGACGGTCGTGAGATTCTCATTCTGAGTCTATCCTTCCGCTACTATGGGCCTTCCTTCTGGGTGGTCCCGGTGGCCAGCCCCTCTAGGCCTTTGAAGCATGGTATTCCTACGCACGCCTTGTGCCAACACTGAGACATCTCTCGCATAGGTTGCCTGCCCCAAAATCATACAACCTACTCCAAGCAAGAGCCATTTGGATAATCCCTATAAAAATGGGAAATGATCCACTTGCCATGTATCTTTTGAAATCATTTTAACGTAAGCATGGCAGGTGGAGAAAGGCTTGGACCACAAGGTCAGCGAGCAGCTATTCCAACAGGATTCTCTTTGAAGAGCCCCCAACCCCACCCCAACAAGTACATTTTACTGCTCAGTCGTATTTCTGGCATCTGCTTCCTCTTTACTGCTGGTGGAGGTAGCAGGAGTCACGAGAACCTGTAGACACCACTTTTCTATCTCGATAAAGAACACTACTGCTTCTAAATTTCACAGCCAAGGAAGAAACACACCTGCCTCATCTTGTGTAGAGCGACAATTGCATGATGAGAACCTTCCAGCCTTTCCTATTGACTTTGAGTAGCCTGAAAAGAGAGAAGCTGTCTGGGATTATGTACGTGGTCAATCAGGCAGCTTTACTGACAAAGGTTCAAAGCCTGCTGGGAGACCCTGAGAGCAAGATTCTCCCTCAAGCCCCACGGGGCCAACCGGAGAGCTCAGGTCTGGACTACGGTCATAGTTCTCCATCCCTTGACAAAGGAACGCGGGCTTCTCTCCTGTCTCTGCGAAGTAGCGCTAACGTTCGCAGACATCAGGATCTTACCTTCGAGCTACACTTGTACAATGGGTGACTGATAGAATCAACATAGTGATGCCTCATGCAGCGTAGAGGGTCCGAGTCCATCATGAAGGAGCTGTCCGTTTTGCTGTCCGTATCTCCCATTAGCGCCAGCAGGGAGAGCATAGAAAAGGATGCAGCTAGTACATGATTTCTCATTGTTGTAAGGAAAAACTTCGGAGAAGGGACAGCAGAGGGAGGCAGAGGACTAGGAATGGGAAATGCCTTCGCCTCCTAGGATCCAGTCCCTTTCGAGCAAAGGACAGGATCCGGCTGAAGCTTTCTGGTTGTCATTGTCCTTTGTAGGCCCCCCCCCGAGTCTTGTCTTACTCTTTCCACTTGCAATCCATCATCGCGAGATCTGCTGCACAGCTGGAATGAAAACAGAAATTATTTTCCCCCGGGAACATTTACCCAGAAAAACGAATGGAACCCAGGGGGTATGGAGTAGAATTTTTCCACGTCATTTTGAATGACGGCGGTTGGTTTCTTGAGCGCCGTTAGCATAGGCCATCGCCCATTCTAACCCTCTCCCTCCCCCAGAGCTTATTTGTAACCATTCGGAGGTGGACACCGTGGTTTAGTGGAAGCACATGTTGACTTTAATTGCCAGAGTCCATGTTTCGAGGAGCAAGAAGAGTTGGAACTCATGGTAAGGATTAGACATGTGGTTCTGGCCCCAGCACAACTGCATTGGGTGGTCTCATCTTTATCCCTGGCTTGGCAGTGGGGGAGGGTCTATTCAGTTTCTCAATGATCTCTGGTGTCAACATCAGCTCACAGGGCCAGAAAACAGACAGGTCAGCGCTAATGAACACAAGCCACATCCCACAGGAAAGAGGTATATTTTCCATTTCCAAGTCCATTACCCACCCACCCACCTACTTTTCCACTAGGGCTCATCCTGCTCTAGGCTCATCCTGTTTTTGGTGTAAGCCCCGTGCCCCCCAGCATCAGTGGCAAACGGCATCTGAAATACACATTATGCTAACTGGCCTCCAGTGTGATTAAAGCAACACGTACGTATTCGCCAAAGAGTCACACATTTCTGCAGAGCCTTGTAGCCTGAGCAGGCGGCCTAATTCGAAAAAGGAAGTGGTGGTTAGAGCAAAGACTTACCAGTAAAATGGGATCAGGGCCGATAGGGGCCTGGAAATCTGCTTTGTTCTTTTAACCATATGCATCTTGGACAAAGTGGAGGGCGCTGCGCATCACCTCACCAACCCTCCTAAGCCTGGCCAACGTGGGTGCTTTTTATCACACCAGAAGACAGAGTGTCACAAATATTTTCAAACATTTAGGACAACTGGGGAGACCTGTCATTGCATCCCAAACAAAAGGAAGATAATAATTAAAGCCTCAGAAAAAAGTTTTGAAAGTATTTCAGGTAAGAGTTTGATTGTTCTGTTCATTGTACAACATTTTTTTTTAATTTCCTAGTCATGGACGGTCCAAATAAACAGGGCAAAGTATTAATAAGATCAAGATTAGAAGTTCAAATCCAGGGGTGCCTAGGTGGCTCAGTCAATTAAGCGTCTAACTTCAACTAAGGTCCTGATCTCAGGGTCCTGGGATAGAGCCCCGAGTCTGGGTCCCTTCTCGGCGGGGAGCCTGGTTCTCCCTCTCCCTCTGCAGATCCCCCTGCTTGTGCTCCTGCACACTCTCTCTCTTAAATAAATAAATTCTTTTTAAAAATTAAAAATAGGGGTGACTGAGTGGCTCTGTCGGTTAAGCATCTGCCTTCCACTCAGGTCATGATCCCAGGGTCCCGGGCTGAAGCCCCGAGTTGAGCTCCCTGATCAGCAGGGAGTCGGCTTCTCCCTCTCCCTCTGCATACCCTGCCCCTCTCAAATAAATAAAATCTTAAAAAGAAGAAGGAGGAGGAGGAGGAGAAGTTCAAGTCCATATAAGTCAATTAGTTTGGTTCCAATAGAATGGCCCCAGACCCACTTAACCTCAGTTAGCTTTCTTGTGAGTGTGGGGCAGGGGATCCTAGACTGAAAATGGAGTGTGGCAAAGGGCCGTTTCAGACAAGAGCATCCCTGGCAATGGCAAATTCTCAGCGAATATGTGTCAGAGAAATCCTATAAATTGCAGGACCAGCAGGGACCAGTAATGAGGAGACCCACTTGGGCTCAAGCCCTGCCCTTGAGTAACTGGGAGACCTGGCTCACGGCATTTAAACAGGTGTGGCCTCAGTTTCCTCATCTGTAGAATAAGAGAAATGGAAAAGATGGAGTCTGTAGTGCCCTCTTGCCCTAAAATGACACCGCCTGGTACTTATGGATCCAGTCACCACCATCTCCATAGGCAAAGGTAATCCTGAAGTTAAGAGCGTATTTTCATACAAGTCTGCACCACTTTCCCTCGTGAACATGCTAATTGCAGCAACTCATTGAAATTGATCAAACCTGAGCTAAAGCTCCAAATTGGCAAGAGATGCCAAAGAGTATTCTTTGTTTTCTCTTCAGCTGCATATCACACTGAAACTCACCAAGATTTCAACTCAAAGAGCCAGAGCTTTCTTGGATTCAATGTTCAGAGGCTGCCGTATTACTGACCATTTCCTGAGTTTCAATATGACTATGTTATCCCAAGTGGTTATCTGACTCTTTGAAGCCTTAATTAGTCTCAGAAAAGGAATTTATTAGATTTCTTCTTTCACCACTCCAGTCTATCGATATTTCCCCCAGGAGTCAATGGCAAAGGGATGAAGGGAAAGTAGACATTCCAGTCCTGGCCCTCCCTCTCCCCTTCAGAGCCATGGCCAGGAGGTATGGTTAAATGAAAGAAGCAAATGAAAAGAAAACATACAGCTTGATGGCAAAAATAAGCAACAGCAATCAATAACAAGACCCTATATATGTGAATGTTTAGACCCAGATAGTCCATCTCTGAGAATTATCCTACATATGCGATCCCACTAGCATGTGATTATTAGTTTGGCATTGGTCATCACAGCATAAAATTGGAAACCGCACAAAATACCCATCTCTATTACACAACACTCATACCCTGGAATACTATGCAACTGTATAAAGAAGGGTGCAGAAACTCTACTGATGTGTGTTATACCAGGAAGGGTAAGAACATATATTTGTGTTCATTGATATTTACACAGAGAAGCTCTGGAAGGATATTCGAGAAGCTACACAATTAGTTATGGACAGGTATGGGAAAAAGACTTTCACTGTATACATACATTTGAATTTGTAAATTTCTGAATTTGTGAATGTATTACCTGTCTAAAACTTCATTTAAAAAATGTGTACTTTCTGGGACGCCTACGTGGCTCAATCGGTTAAGTGTCGGCTTTCGGCTCAGGTCATGATCCTGGGGTCCTTGGATCAAGTCTCGTGTCAGGCTCCTTGCTCAGCGGGGAGCCTGCTTCTTTCTCTGCCTGCTGCTCCCCGCCCCCGACCCCCACTTGTGCATTATGTGCTTTTTCTCTCTCTGAAAAATAAATAAATAGAATCTTAAAAAAAAATTGTACTTTCTCTTTCCAAACCTGGCTTAAAAATACTAATTAAATTAATGGATGTTGAATGTTTGTGCCAGTTTGAGTATTTTAGTAATATTATATTTTTATTTCTTACAAATTTTGGAAGACATGCTAGTTAGTCTTTTCTCAGTCTTCCTAGTGGATCATTTAATTCTTAAGCAGTACTGCCACCTAGTAGCGACATCTTGAATTGCAAGCACAGTTGAATTTTTTTTTTCTTGAAAGTTGAATAAAACTTTTGCAGACAAGTGTTGTGAAGCGTATAATGATAAAGAGACAGTTAATGTCACACAAAATATAACTTTATTATCTGATCTTCTCTTTAAAGATGATAAGCTGAACCAGATGTAGTAATAAAGATAAAGTAGAAAAACATGTCAGAGAAAATGCTGCTTGACTGCTAATAAGAAATACACTTTTCAGGTCAACACGCTCACAAAGCATGGTACTTTTTGTTCAGTTTTTATATTAAACTCTGAAATAAGAATTCAAGCAATGATGTAAACAGACCACTGAACTCTCAAAACATAACGGTAAAATTCTTGCCACTTAACTTTGGGATTTTCACCCAAAGTGTTCACATCATATGAAGAAAGAAATAAGCATAATGCTCGAAAACCGAGTGGCATGAAGTCAGATTCATCTGAACTTGGTGTTGGTGGGGTGTGCTCGGATGAGAAGTGCACGGTGCTGAGGGCAACACTCACGAAGAGGAGAGTCAAAATGAAGGAAATTCCCATCACTTGAGATCCGATTTATGACAGCCTAGGGGTATCGTCTTGTCTTGTCAGAGCTTCGGGCATGTTCCTCAAAATTAAATTAATTCCCATTTGCTTTCATTTTTTTTTAAAGCCACGGATCATAAAAACCAAGCACTGCCCATCAAGACTTAGAACCTCGGCCCAGCCACTGATGGTCTGACTGAGAAAGCAACTCACTTGCTGAACTTGGGAGCTCCAGGGCTGCTCCGTGCTCTGGGTACAGCCTCTGAGACATGGACTTGGCGGATGTACAGAGCCCACATTCTCATAGCTCCCATGTGGAGCCTCTGCCGGCAGGAGAGGCACGTAGGCCGGCGTGCCCGACTTTGGAGCTACCCTCCAAACGATACCAGTGGAAAAGAACAACTGGTGCCCAGATTTCCCCACCTGTCATCCTCAGGGAAATAATATAGCAGAGCTCACAGCGGGCTCAGCCTCCTGGGTGAGAGATGGTGTTGTGTCCACAGAGCACTCACTCTTGGGCTGACCTTCTGCCTGGCAGAGGGTAAAGTGCTGGTTTCACGCAAGTTATTCCAGCAACAGGCTAAGACCAGGGGCATGTGCCAAGAATGGCCTTATTCTTGCCCCGCTTGCCAGGCAAGGGAGGGTGGAGCTTTGGTATCCGGATTCCCACCCTGGGCTGTTTTCAGTATTAATACATGCACGTAATGCCTCCCATGGCTTCTTTCTACAGATATTTATTGAACACATATTCCGTAAGCATTTACTAAGTGTCTCCTTTTGCTCTAGCAGATAACAGTTAAGGGTCAGCGGGGAAAAAAATAGGTCCTGTTCTAGTGCCTTCTTCCAGCTCACCACATCTACAAGCAGAGTCTTGGCCTGTTGTTTCCTGGGTGACTTTTTTTGGACCGAAGGATAAACTCTCTCACCACCTAATTCATATCCAACATGCACTGCATCATTTCTAAGAAGATCAAGTTCAGCAGATAAAATATCATGACTTTGGAATGGTGTCAGCGTCACAGACAAGAGTGATTTGATATTTACTCTCATTTCAGACAATCATATCAGGCCTGAGTCAGGTAGAGAGGGCAGAACCAAGAGCCTCTCTCCAAGGAATCGCCAAAAATAAAAATCAAAGGTTTAAG